CTAAACTAGCCTTTTTGTGACACATTTTTACTTTTCCTTGACTCAGAAACAAGAAATATTTTTCTAATTCCTGATATTTATTTTTTCCCAGTACAATGATTTCCAATGGCAGGTTTAGTCTTTATTTTGCAGTTGATTGAAAAAAAAATAAATAAAGCCAACATTCACAGCTTAGCCCGACAACTGTGGGCTCTTGTTCTTGTGGAGGGGACTGGGGTGGCAACATGGTGGTGGCACAAGTGATCCGGCTCCTTCTGTAGTACATCAAGGACAATTTCCTGACAGAAGTGCTCAACAAGCCAAGTGGGGCTATGCTAGACATGCTGCTCACACGTAAGGAAGGGCTGCTGGGAACAGTGACACTGGTGGCAGCCTTGGCAGCAGCGAGTACAAGATAGCAAAGCTTAAGATTCTGAGGGAAGTGAGGAAGATAAACAGTTGAATTGCAACCCTGGAATTTAGGAGAGCAGACTTTGTCTCCTACAGACATTTTGTTGGCAGAATCACACAGAAGAGTGCCCTGATGGGCCCAGGAGAGCCAGCTGGAGCACAGGAACAGTCCATTCTGATCTGCCCGAAGTTGAGCAGATATGGGAGAAGGCAGCATGGCTGAAGGGGGAGCTCCTGACTGGAGGCAGATGCAAAAGGCAAGTACACAGACTGTGGAAGTGGGGTGGGCTATCCTAGAGGAATACACTGCCTAGGCATGCTGGAACAGAACTAGGAAAGCCAAAGCTCAGCTGGAGTTGGAGTACGTGAGGGATGTGAGGGACACTTTCAGTACATTAACATGGAAGGAAGGGTAAGTAAAATGTGGGCCCCCACTACACGGGGTAGGTAACCTGGTGACAGAGGACAGGGAAATGACTGGGGTACATTTGTTGCTGCCTTTGCTTCAGGTTTTAAGTGGACAGGTCCGTGCTCAGAGCTTTGGACAGAGTCTGGGTGCCTAAGAGGAAGCCTGAGTTAAGGACTGCTTACCCTGGATCTATAGCAGCCCATGGGAAAAGCTGGGCCTGTTTCAAGGATGCAGGCTGATACCATTAGAAGGCTGCTCTCACCCTTGAAAGATCATAAACAGGGTACAGGAGTTCTAAGGACTGGAAAAAGGCAAATGCAATGTCCCTTTTCAAGAAAGACCCAGGGAACTACAGGCTGCTCAGCCCAGGCAGATTATGGAACAACTCTCCTAGAAGCCATGCCTGGACAACTTGGATTTACTAAGGTCTAACTTTGCCTGACCACCCTGCTTCCTCTCTGTGATGAAATGACTGCCCTCAGGTACTGAACAGAGAATGTTGTCTGATCTTAGCAAGGCTTTTGACACTATCTGCTCTTGTATTCTTACAATAAACTAGAGAGAGCTGGACTCAAGGTGGGAACTATGAGGTGGCTGGAAAATCAGCTCAGCAGCTGGGCTCAGAGGGGTGAGATGGGCTCTTGGAAGTCTGGTTGTTGGTTGGTACTAGTAACATTCCTCAGGGGTTAATAATGGGCCAGATAATGCCAAAGGGCTTCATTACCATCCTAGGCATTGGGATGGGTTGAGGTTTCAGGGAGGTGATTGATACAGCAGGGCCAGGGCTGTCCTTCAGAGGGAGCTCAACAAGCTAGAAAATTGGGCTGGCAGGAACCTCAGTAGGTTCACCTAAGATAAACACAGAGCTCCACACACGGGAGAGAGGCGTAACCCCATGTCATGGAACAAGCTGGGTGCTTACTGGCAAGAAAGCAACTCTGCAGAAAAAGGGGCTGGTGGACAAGCTGAACATGAGTCAGTAAGGGAACTGAACGCTACACAGCCTGAGCTTCAGCAGTCTGACTGCTATCTACATGTCTTACAAACACAGGCAGCAGTTGGAGGGAATGGATTGTCACCCCTGTTTTGGCACTCGTGAGACTGAATCTGCAGAACCGTGTCTGATTTGGGCCTGTGATACGCAGGACTCAGCTTGGGAACTGAAGTGAGTCCAAGTGGAGCGCTGACGGAGGATCAGTAGCTGGAGCATATCAAGTAAAATGATACGCTTAAAAAAAGTGTTTTGCTCCGTGTTACAAGAAGAAGATTAAGAAGGAGAGAGGGATCTGAGTGCTGCCTTCAGCTACAAGACGTGTGACTGTAGGAAGGATGGAGCCAGACGCTTCTAATGGTACAGAACAAAATGGCGAGAAGCAACAGAGATAAGGCAGAGCAAGGGGAATTCTGATAATTGTCTCTGAAGAGACAAGGCAAAAAGTCTTTGTCATGTAGTCGAGCACTGGAACAGGGACCAAACAATGTTGTGGAATCTCCATCCTGGAGATAGTAAAAACTTTACAAGTCTGTGAACAACCTGAACTATCTTTGAAATTAGCACAATTTGAGGAGGGAAGGGGGTTGACCACATGATCTCCAAAGGACCATTCCAACCTAAATTATTCTGCAGTAAAAACAACCAAAAAATGGTTCTGGCTGTTGAGATAATTAATACCCAGAAGCTCACTATTTCTGCAGTTAAGCACTTTCCTTCATAAATGTATAGTGTAAAATCCCCTGGCAAGGAACTCACCTTGAGGACACACAGAGGAAAGGTGCAGTGGAGCTGTTCCACAGCAGCTCCAGAAATGGCAGGACCCAATCCCTGCAGCTCCCCCTATGCCCCCTAGCACAGAGTCCTTTCTGATGTCCATGCTGAGGGGGAGTAGAGGCAGGCAAAGCATTAAAGGAGCTGCTCTCACCAGCTGTGTGCACAGGAAGCATGTGGCGGACCTTTCCTATCTGTATTGCTCCTGTCTCTCCCCACAGCCCTAGACATTAGTCTTCTGACACTCCCCTTTGGAAGAACATGTCCATCTGCCTGTTTTCCCCTGCAAGACAAATGCTTTTTCTGCAATAGGCTTCATAGCTGACCTGCAGTCCCTGTTCCTCTTCATTACAATCCATAAGATTCCAGGTAGTCTATTTAGTCCTATTAAATTAGATAAAAGGCTTAAATTACTAACGATATTCTGTAGAAGGCTCAGTTTCTGTCACAACAGGTATTAAGTCTTTCAAACAAATTCAATTTATATAACCAGGACATTTTAAACACATGAAGATAATTTGGTCATTTAGTTCTTTATTAAAATTCATTTAGTAGCATCGCTACAATGGAACCAGAATACGCTCAAATGTTTGTCAAATCCTGTTTTTCTCAGTCACCAAAAGTTCAGTTTCTCTTAGAACAGTCCATGTGAGCTCCTGAAAAATTATCCTAAAGTCTCATACTTTTAGGATTCATATATATAGCTGATACTATCATGATATGAACTGAGGATAATAATTTACTACTTAAATAATAAATACATGATTCATTATTAGAACATTTTTTTCAAGGCAATAAATTGTGCTTCCTCAACAGTGAAATAGAATTTAAAATATATATATTTCTAGTTGTAAATCAAATCAGGGTTGCTCTGCTTAGTGATATTTTTGAACCATTCCTCAGAGAAACACACTTAAATCTGTAATTCCTGTGTTTATTCTTAAAATTTCAGCCTTCAACATACATGTTTCATACTGGTTATTTTTGTTGACTACTAAAGGAGAAACATCCTTTGCCAAATGCTGTTTTCCCTACCCCAAACACTGACCTACCTACCTACCAATCAGGCTTTCACTTGCTCCTTCCTCTCCTGTCAATCTTTCTATCCTTAGGTTCTCGTTTTAAGAAAATATTTTCCATGTCTTTATTTATTCGCTGCTGAATTTCTTGTTTGTACTTCTCCACACCTCAATCTACACTTTCTCTCATAGCTCTTTTTCATTAAAAAAATTTGCTAATGCTTTGCAAACTCTGTTGAAAGGCACAGAAAAATCAAATGCAGGAATGGATTCAGTAACTATGAAATGTATTCCCTAGGAAAAGGAAGTTTCCATCAATGCCAGGTAGTTGTCATAGGAGGTAACTGTTAGAAACCTACACTTCCCCTAGCCCTAATCAAGACTCGGAGCACGCAGCATAATCAGTTTAAAATACTAGTGAATACAAACAAGGCTTGGCTGTACAATCTCTGCAGTTTTGGATCCTGCCTTTCTCCCAGTTTATCTAAGAAAATAAAAAGTGAATTCTATAATGTCTTGAGATGTTTTAGTTCTGGCAAATAATTAAGTATTTATAGGGCTAGACTTTTCACAGGAATACCATTCTTTAATATTTGCTCATTTATCATCTGGTTTTATTTGATGGCAAATGCTTATACCATTGTAGATTTGCTTGATTTTGGACACTTGATTATCTTTTTCCTATTCACACTGGTTAGTACAATCAAGAGCTTCCATGATGTCTCTTCTCTGCACAGGCTGTGCTGCAAGCCTCTATAATGATTTTTAAATGTAATCCTCTTACTCTTGAATTGTCAGGATTGGAAGGGACCTCTGGAGATCATCCCGTCCAACCCCTGCCAAAGCAGGGTCACCTGGAGCAGGTGACACAGGAACACATCCAGGTGGGTTTGGAATGTCTCCAGAGAGGGACACTCGATGACCCTCCTGAGCAGCCTGTTCAGTGCTCTGCCATCCTCGATGAAATGAAGTTCTCCCTCATGCTGGGGTGGAACTCTTGTGTTTCAGTTTATGGCCATTGCTCCTCGTCCTGTCGCTGGGCACCACCGAAAACAGTCTGGCACTACCTTCTCGGCACCACCTTTGAGATATTTATATGTATTGACGAGATCCCCTCTCAGTCTTCTCCAGACTAAACAGACCCTGAACACCCGCGTACATATTAAAAAACTACCGCGCTAATTTGCTCTCCCCACGAACTAACGCAACCGCGAAGCCCTCACTCCGCCGGCAGCGGGGAGTGTCTGTTCCGGTGGTACCGTGACGACATCCAGGAAAACCAGTGTTTGCTTCCCGCCGGCCTCGGCGGAGCCGCCTCCCGCCCCGCCGCCGGAGCTGCCTGAGGGAGCGCCGGCCCCGCGCCCCGGTTCTGTGGGAGCTCCTCTGCCCGTCCGAGCCCGCCCCGAGCCCGCACAGCCCCCGCCGGGCCCGGTGCCGCCTCACGCCGTGTCCCGGCCCCGCGGGATGGCGGCGGGCGAGGAGCAGAGCCGAGAGTACCTGCGGCGGCACCGGCTCCCCGAGCTGCTGCAGCACCTCGGAGCGCTGCTGCTCTTCCACCGCCCCGGTGCGGCTCCGGCCCGCGGGGGAGGGAGCGGGGCGAGCGGGGCAGCGCGGCCTGAGTGCCCCGGCTGAGTGCCCCGGTCTGACTTGGTTGCAGAAAAGCCACGCGAGTTCCTGATCCAGGCGCTGGAAAGGGTGAAGGCTGGCAGGCGGGCCGAGGGGGAGTACCCGGACCTGATGGACGAGGCCAACGTGGAGGCCATGTTCAGCCTGCTGGATGTGCTGGGCCAGGGCCACATCACGCCAGTGCAGTACAGGGAAGGTGCGTCCCCCCTGAACCCCAGCTCACACCAAGCTGCGCGGGGCTGCTCGTTTGTTTACACAGAAGTAATACAATAGTTTCAGAGTTACACATCTGTATACTTAAGAATTATCCGCACACCTGCCCAGGCACAACCTTGAACGTGGGAAGTTAAAAAAAAATTACACGTTGTGAAATTACATGTTTGCCTTCTATTCGATCTAGGTCACATGAAGATGTTAAATCCATCTTTCAAAAACTCACATAGGACATTCTCTTACCTTAACTTTAGCTCTTAAAACTTTGGGACTGAGCACTGAGGATCTGGAACTTGGAGATGATGAAAATATCACACTGGAGGTATTCAAGGAAGGAGTGTAAGTTTAATTGAAAGTTGTTTTTTTGGAGGGGAGGATACACATAGGAGATATCTGAGATTTTACAAGGTCAGTTACTGCCTGACCGTGCTTAGCTTGCTATAAGATGAACCATATTCCATTTTCCTCCAGCAGCTCAGTTTCAGGATCTTCTCCCAGGAGACCTCTCACCTTACCTGCCCCTCTCATCTGGCAGCCCAGGGTGTTCCAATACTCATCTAGAAATGTGAAACAGTGAGGCACTGTTGTCTTCTTTGCCAGGGGTGGTACTACAGCTGTAGATTAAATAAGCTCAAGTTTTAATAATTTCTTATAGTCAAGATAGAGTTGTAGGGACAATTTTTAGTAACTTGCAGTCACTGAAGGTAATGAACTAATTATCCACACTGTTATCTAATTAGAGGTTTTCTTTTTCTGCCTTAGGAAGAAAAGGATGCTGGAGAGCTGGGCTGTGTATTAGTTTGAGCAGTGGTCTGCAATATATACGAAAACTAGACATCTTCCTCAGTTTTTCTTCTGGCTTGTCAGCTGTGGATAGCTGATTTTAAGCAGCATTCTTTTTCTTGTCTCCCCCTGCTTCAGATGAGCAATCAGCTGAAAAGGACAAATGAACTTGTTCGTGTCTACCAGGCAATGGAGGGATATTGTTTGAGAATTGATTTTCTTAATACAGTTAGATGGTTTAAAAAAAATAAAATAAAAAAAAAAAAGAGATCTCTTATGTAACTAAAATAGTGGTTTGGAGTTTCCTCCTTCAGGTTGCAGCTTACAGTACAGGATTGTTACCAGCTGGCTCATTACCACTGAATAAAATTAAGTTGTTCTGGGGGCTTGTGCTGTGTTTTGGGTTTTTTTAAGGAAAAAGCAACTTCAACAAGTTACAATAAATGTCCACAGGTAAAGGTAGGCAGCACCTCCAAGTAAAGTGCTGTTTTTAAACTTGCCACACACTATTTATGCAATTTTTAAGGAGAAACTTTTTAAAAAATTAGGAGAGACTCTCATACAGAAAAAAAAATTAATTAGTATGAATGAAGAAAACAAAGTGACTTATTCCCTCCTTCTTTGAATTTTTTTTTAAAAAATGTGTAGAATAAAGCATAAGATCAGATTAAAACAGTTGTTCAGCATACAGAATTGAAAAAAAACGACACAAGTATATTAAAAAATATTTGCTTTGGTTTTGTTTGGAATAAGTAATCTACACCAAGATATTAACCATTGCTGAGTAAGTCTTTATTTTCCTGTATTTGGCCAATTAGCTCTCAAATTGAGAAGAATCTCAACATCCTTTTGAGCCAGTTTATAAACTCCAAGTTCATTTAGTGCTGCTGTTGCAGAGGGCTGGCTTGGATTTAAAGTTTCATTTTCTGAGGCTGATTGTAGGACATCCTTCAGAAGCAAGGCAGAGCCAACATTCAGATTCAGGATAATGCAGGCTTCTTTTATGCTAGAGGAAAAAGTTACATGGATCAATATAAGCAGATTAATATAACATAAGATAATCACTGTGTGCACAAATTGAAGTGTAACAAAAACTTCCATGCTCCATGTTGGTTTAAAAATATTAAGATTTCTGCCCCAGTTAGCCTAAGAGTTTGATGCTGGACTCTTCAGAAGACTGTGGGCTGTGTAAAAACAGACTAATCACAAATGAGGTAGTAGATTCTCATCCATGACAGCAACTAGACTGCTACACAAGGCAGTTCTGAGCAGGAACATATTTTAAACCAGTCTTTCTTCGAACAGTAAAGTTTATTGTGTTGTAACTGTATCTTTGATTAGTTTCTTTGGCCCCCATTTCACTAGTCTGTGCTAGTTAATATTCCTTCCATAGGTTAATGTATCTAGACACCCTTACTGCACAAAATACCCCAGAACACATCACAATCTGTTGCTGAGTACATGCTTCAGAGTAAAAACTTTCCTAGTTGAAAACATCAAAGGCATAAACAATCCACACATTTTAAGTGTGGATCAAAACTAACTGTGAAAAAATCTTGGTCTTACATAAAACACACATGTTATCTGGACGCTCACTTCTGAAATACCAGTAGATCAGAAGCAGCCTACTTACTGCTTGAAGTAGTTTTCTGGCCTCTTGCAGTAGTGTGAAAATAAAGGGAACAAATTTCTACTCATGTCAAACTGAAGTTGTGCTGCTCCTCCTTCATTGAAATGATTTGCCATAATTATCTACAAACACAAAGAGGTGCTGTTTAAGCCAGTCACTGACACTACATGGTACTGCACAGGTCACATTGATACCTACTTCCTGATAAATGTATAGATCCACTTTCTCTGCAAGCATTTGCCAGAAGATTTTGAACAGTGAGTGACAGAGCTGCTGTTCCAGTTGCAGCAAACGGTCCCGCAGGGTCTGCAGCATGGGGCAGGCTGTGCTCGACAAAGACATCACTGCTTGCTCTGCCTGAGATGGTAAAGACAACCACCTGAAAGAAACCATTGCACTGAAGTCATTATAATGAAATTATTCATACTACAACAACTGAAGTTAAAATTATCCTTTAAAAAAAAAAATCTTACCCATTTACAATGGTTCAGAGACAGTTCTCCTTTCCATTTCTAATCTACAAGTTATCAGTCTAATGCTATGTTTGAATTTCATTTAATATTAAACTCATGCTTTAGTTATAAATCTCTGAACATGTCACTCCAGGAAACCCCATCTAATCTGGAAATCATTAAATTCTATTCCTTTCATGAAGTACTTCAGAAATTCTACTCTGTAGGAAATATTCAAGAAGCTCTATGGGACTGTGAAGACAGAACAGTCATTACAGGCCATTTTGCATAAAATCTTTAACACCACAATGTATAAAATTATTCTCGTCCAAACTAGAGTGATCCAGAATTCTTCTTTTGGTTCTTAAGATAATGCACCCACTAATTGTGGAACTACTTTAGAAAACATATCATGAAAATAGTTCTAAGGTAAGTATTAATAGAATTTTTCAAAACTTACTACTCTGCAGCATTCCTACTCAGGAAAAAAAATTCTGCCTATTATTTATTCCTGCCTTTATTTACCTCAGTATTTTTAACAGGAAATAATATGGTAACATGGGAAGAGATTAAACAGACAAACACCTCTCTTTTTTGTACAGCTTTGCAGCATCTTTGACCTCCCTGAAGACATGATCGACTTGGCGGGTCAGCATGTCGTGCTTCAGGCGCTCCAGGAGGTTGATCATCTCGTCAAAGACGGAGCTCTCCATGGACGCCAGCTGCCCCAGCTGGAGCTGACTGACAGCGTCACTCTCTGCACGAACCTCCAGCTCGGCCTGCTGGAGCTGCAGGAAGAACTAGGCAAACAAAACCAGGCACGAACGCTATAGAAAAGTAATCTTGCCATTTGAACTTTTCATTGGTACTTCGATAGGCACAGTTCTAGAGAACGCTCTTCTGCCGCATTTATAAACTTAAAAATTTAAGATTTTAAAAACACTTTCTTATCTTTCCCTGTGGTCCTGATTTAGTGAAAAACAAATCATAGTGGTTTAATTCTAGCGATGGAACTGATATGGCTCCCAGATACAACAGCAGATAGGTAATGGGAACAGATCTAAAGAAAAACTAAAAAGATGTTTTAAGATTGATGCAGAACGCTATAAAAAAAAAAATCTACCTTGAACTTTTGAACATTTGCAAAAGTAAACTTTAATTGTAATTTTTTAGAAATGAGCATTCATTAAATCATAAGTTTGCTGTGCTGACAACAGCAAGAAAATGGACTGAGTCCATTTAATGTGACATTGTGGTAACCAACAATGGTTACCACATTTTGGTTTGCTTTTAAGCAGATCAAGACACTGTAGCAGATACAGTTATACACATGAAGGCTGCAGTCCTATCAAGTCAAGATTATCCCTTGCTAGAGCCACAGCTTCCTGTGAAGACAAAAAGAATTTGGAGGCTACTGCCTACACTCCAACATCAGGGGCTGTAAACAGTGGTTCAGAGATCTCCAAACTCAAGAGTCTTTTACAATAAAAAGGCATGTAAAGGAGACTACTTTTTTTTTGTTTTGTTGGATTATTCCATTCCTCAGGCTTGCTTTGCATTTCCCTAGGAAGTTTATAATTAACACAGCTTAGATCTCAAACAATAATCTGTCCTTGTTTATACATCTTCTATTAAATCTGAATTTACATCTCATTCTATTTTTTCTGTAATTAAATCTTCTGAATACACTTAAAACAGTACTGAAAAAAAGTGTTTGTTATGAAATAAACATCCAAAGCCTACGTTTAGGGTTTTTTTTTCTCGTAGAATAATTACTTACTACATTGTCAGCCCAGTCTGCCAACACTGTTGCTATATAGTTAACAGCATTAAGGATTGCACAGTATCGGAATCCTAAGGAAGCTCTGGTCTCTTCCTTCATCACTTGAGTTAATCGTATCCTGAAATCATCAACTAACTCCTTCTGTAGGCCCAGGAATTGAAGTTTTCTGGAAGCTGTTGGAAGATTCTTATACCTGTCTGGAAAGACATTAATAAAAAAATGCCTTTAGGTTTTCCAACACTGAAAAAAGAACTATTAAGTCATGTTACTGCACCACCTTACACCTGTGAGGACATTATACAGTATTTAAAAATAATGACATTTCAACAATCTCAGGGAAACCACTCATGCAAAAGCTAAACATGCCAAGAAACGAGCAATGTGTGGCTATACTGCACCCTCCAGCATGGCCCCTAAAGCCTCCTCACACAGAAGAAGACAAAGCCACTGAATATATATATCCCGAAAACATACTTGATCTTATGTTCTCTTCCAAAAAAGCAGGTGTTACTTAATAGCTTCTAAATTGTCACAGATTGAAAAGGAACAGTCTGATTTATTACTGCATTGCAACAAATTATCTTCTGTCAAGTCAATGTATGTGTATTTTTAATTATTATTTTGCAAACATGTCACTAGCTCAAGATTATTTGTGTGTGTTAGTGTCCAAAATACAAAACAAACAGGAAGCTTTTATAAGCTGCAAACATCACAACTTTGCACCATTATTTGGTGACTACTGCTGACAATGAATATTTAGTAAAGAAATCTGTTCGGTGAAGGTTTTTTTACTATTCATTAAAACAACAGCAATGCCCGTAGATATAATTACCTGTTATAACTAACAAGAGAGTCATAAAAGTTTCAGCACAGTCTGGAACTTTCATTTCATCTACATCAGTGATATCTTTGTACTGTGATATCCATGCAGCCTCTGATGAAAGCATAGAGTCCATTTTCTGAAGAGCAACTGAGATGCACAAAACTTGTAAATTAAGCTTTTCATTTTAAAAAAATTCTAACAAAAGCCCCTCTAAAATACATAAACATAAAAGCCTTATCTCTAGTAAGTTAAATTTTGCATTTTCAGGTTATAAAAAATACTGGCAACTGGCTTCATACAAAACCAGTTTCAATGTATCTGTATTTACAATGCCATTAACAGCTATGTCAGAGTTGACTGGGGGTTTGCTTTGGATTTTTAGTAGTTGGTTTGCTCCTTTCCAATATATTTCTTACTCATTTCTCAAAAACAATATCTTTCCCTTATATCAATTAAAAGTTCACCCTTGCCTGCACACACATAACATCTGTCTAAAAATAAGCCCACTTGATTCCATACAGCTTAGGGGGCAAGAGTCCTGCAAACTACAGAAGCACTATTAGAGCCTAATCAATTTTTATTCAGAATAATCACAGAGTATAAAAATACGAATGTTTTCTGTAGTAGCCCTGTCCAGGTGATTTATGCTATTTGAGAAGGCCAGTTGTGCAAGTTGTACACATACTTTCTGATTGT